GTCAATTCTTGAAAGATGGTCTTCAGCAACCTTGTACTGCAGGCTTAGGCCAAACCTGCAAGGTAAGGAGTTATGTCAGTAAATTCTGGATCCCTGAATGGCAGGTGGTTTTCCTTGCCACAAAGCAGATTTGTTAGATGTTCCCCCTTCCCCTCATCCATTTGCTGGGACATGCTGAAGTGCAGATATCAGCAGAGCACCCTGGTGTGCAGCATCTCCATCCTCCCAGGTCAGGATGCTTCGGCTGTTGTCCTTCCCACAGGCTCACAGTGCCCTGCTGATTCTCCAAGTGTGCTGCTGCCACTTTCCCAGTCAGCTTCAATCCATGCACCAGCACAAAACTTCAGGAATCCACTCCCTCTCCACCCCATCACCTCCAGCTACATGTACAGGACCAAAGCAGCAAGCCCAACAGAACAGCAGCTGCTTTATCTGACTTCGGTGCACCTGCCATCCCTCCCCATTCCCCATCAGACAGATCAAAACCCCAGGACATCATTCCCACAATAATACCACTAATTAACCCATTTAGCAGTTTACTGTCAGCACTGTCCACTTACCATTAGCAAACCTGCACTGCTTCAGCACCTCGCTGAAGCCCTCGCACAGCTTGAGGTCAGTCTGGTTCTGTGCACACTCCAGGAATTGTTTGATCTCGTACTGGCAAGGACCAGCCTGCTGCTGCTGCTGGGCAGCCTGAGCTGCCTGAGGCTCCTGAAACAGCACACAGCCTCGTAAGGGCCCTTCCAACAGCTCCAGCTCAAAGCCAAACCACCCCCCGTGCTGCTTACTGAGGTTTCTTCCCTGTGCTTTAGTCAAAATGTTGCTTTTTAAATGGGAAAAATATAAGGGGCTGAAGTACAGAGCAGTTTTTAAAGTGAGAAACACTTAGGCGATTTTGGATATGCTCAGGTAACTCTGAATGGCATCTGGGCAAAGCAACAGCTTCGTCTCTGTGTCTGAGCAGCACAAAAAAGTCTTACAATAGATCTTACCATCATCAGACCTGGAACATCCTGCCTGAATAAGGGGAATTTTACAGTAGAAAATAGCACTGACACCCTGCCACAAGCACGCATCACTCATGTGAACTACTTTTAAGATACTCGTGGTGAGTGTGGTGGTTACCTTGGAGATTTAACTTAACTACAGACTATATACGATTATATATATAGTCTATCTTAGCCCGTAGGTCGATCTGTCAAGGCACTAGCAGTGTCCAGCTGTGCTTTCCCTCACCTGGTAAGTGATATCAGGCCGAGCAGCCTCGTGGCCGCTCCCCCCACTGAAGCCTCCGGTGATGGCGTGGCCGATGGTGTGTCCCACGGCCGAGCCCACGGCGACCCCGGCGGCGGTCGAGGCCATCTGGGCCATCAGCCCCGGCTGCCTCGGCGCCGGAGCTGCCACGGCAGAAGGCGGAGCCGCGGCCGGGACCGCGGCCCGAGGAGCCGGCGCTGGGGACGCGGCTCTCATCGGCGGGGCCCGGCTGCGAGGAGAGAGAGAGAGAGAAAACTCACATCATCATCACTTCACACTGCTCCAGGCAGAGCCCCCGTGGCTGCAGGGCCAGGAGGTCACCGTCCTTCCTCAAGAGTCACAAAGTTATACCCTGAGGGCAGGAACTCGGTGTTCTGGTGAGCGACTTATGCAAGACAGGGGTCGCGTTTAGAGGCTTCTTTCTGGCTGTTTTAAAGCCTCGCCTTCCCCCCACCCCACAAAAGAATGCGCTATCTTGTGCAAAAAAATGAGGTATGACCCAAAAGGGGTTGATTAACCCTTAAGTGTTAATAAGCCTTAAAAGTCCAGATGGGATGGCCAGGCCTTGCGGCCGAGCGGACCCACTCCCACCACCCCCCAAGCAGCGAATTCCGCTCCTCCAGAGCCAGCGCAGCTCCAACCCGCCGGGCCGCAGCGGCCGCAATGGCGGACAGGCCGCTGCGGCCTGCGAGGGGCCCTCGGGAAGGACAGGGGACGGGAGACGAGGAGGCGACCCGGGCGGCCCTCACCTGGCGGGGGGCGGCACGCGGGACGTGCGGCTGCGGCTGCCCCTGGGCATGGCTGCGGGGAGCGGAGCGGGAGCCGGAGCGGAGGGAACCGGGAGAGAAACACCGAGAGAAAGAGCAGGGCCTGTCCCGACACCCGCCCGCCGCCTCTGAAGGTCACCGCGAGCGCGTCACTTCCGCCTGCGCGGGAAGGAGGGGTGGGCGGGGTTTCACAGAGGCCACGCCCCCTCCGGCAGCCTGAGGGGACGCGCGGGAAGCGGGGCGATGGCGGTGGGAGCTGCGGTGAAAATAAACGTGTAAATGGCGATAATCGCGCGCCTGCGGGTCCAAAATGAACACAGGCTGTCGTTAAGCCGGAGCCGGCGCGACCCGCAGTCGCAATAAATACTTAGGCTGCGGTTAAAAGTGTTCCAGCCCTCGGAGGGAATCGTTCTCTGTGGAGAAGGAACCCCCTCCAAAAGCCCTTCGGAATCCAGCCCTCCGGTGGAATTGCAGGTGTTGGATTTTAGCCCAGGGAAGACTGAGGGGATCTCATTAATTATATATATATATATATATATATATATATATATGCAATTATGTATATGTAAAGATATGCATGTATACATGCATAAATGCATGTATTTATATAAATATGCATATGTATGTATGTACATATGTGCATGTATATGCATATATATAAAGAGATATCTATATGTGTATATATGTATCTAAATACATTTATATAAATATTTGCTATATGTAATATATATATATATGGTACATGTATGATATACATACATGAGATAAATATCTCCAAGGCAGGTGTCAGGAGGATGGTGCCAGACTCTTTTCAGTGGTGCCCAGTGACAGGACGAGGAGCAATGGCCATGAACTAAGACACAAGAAGCTCCATCTTGACATGAGGAAGAACTTTCCATGGAGGGGGGCAGAGCACTGGAACAGCTGCCCAGGGAGGGTGTGGAGACTCCCTGTTTGGAGACATTCCAAACACTCCTGGACATGTCCACGTGTCACTGGCTCCAGGTGACCCTGCCTTGGCAGGAGGCTTTGGACTGTGTGATTTCCAAAGGTCCCTTCCAACCTTAAAAATCCTGTGATTCTGTGATTTTCACCCCAAAAAAAGAAGTGAGGGTCCTTCCTGCCCCCCTCAGCCCCATCTGCACAAGCTGACTCTCCCGTTTTAGAGCCACTGTCTACTTGGAGGAATGTATTTTTAAATTAATTTATTCGTTATTGTATTGATTTATTTTTATAGAAAACAGCAATAATAAGGGATATGTCATGACAGTGCCACAGTCACCAGTTGTGATAATTCATGACAAATAATTGCTTGTTCACAGTTTCTTCAGCTGCCAAGGAGGGAGCTGTGTAAGACCAGTCATTTCAACATCTTGTGTGTCAGGGGATGTAACTGTTGTCTGATGAAGGAAGCATGAATATTGTGATTTTATACAGCAGTGGTAACCCAGAAGCACAGTTAAAAAAAGCAGCTGTTAATGTCAAAATTATTAGGAGACAAATATAAATGACATGTCATGTTCTGCTGTATCTGTCTGCTCCGCTCCTTTCCCATTGTCCCTCTGCCCTTGTTCCCACTGACAGCAAATCATGGAGAGAGCGGGAGATTTATAATTCTGTTTATACTTTTTCTAGAGTTCAAACAACTCCTTCCTTAATGAGTGGTTTTCTCAACTCTTTTTAATTAATAGTTTTCAACTCCCCTTTTTTTTTGCTGGCAGAGGGATTCTTGGTGCTTGAAGTCATTTTGCAGCGCGTCCCTCTCTGAGTCGGTTTTGTTCTGCGGAACAATGAGGGCAGGATGGGATGAATGCTGCCTTTGTGCTTTGTCCTCCTGCCTTCCTTGGGAAAACTCCAGAGCTTCCTTTTGTACTGGCTCACTCCTGCATCTCCCGGTGCCAGCAATAACGGGCTGCAAGGAACCGGGGAAGGGCGGGAGAAGGAGTAGCAGGTGGCCATCCCCAAACAGAGCAGTACCAGCAGTTATGGTGGTGCTTACAGTGAGCAAAGATTGTTTTCATCTGCCGTGACTTTAGTGCTGGTAGACCAGAGACATGGGCTGGTTCTTCACAGCCAGGTGTTGATGCTGCTTTTGACAGAAACCAGAGGTGTGTGTGAAGGAAAGAAGATCCAACCTTGATTGCCTTGGGTTGTGTCGGTCTGATTGCGACCAGCGCTGTGGACTCACAGTTCTGGCTGTTGGGGAGTGATGGAATCTGGATGGAATTCCCAGACCTGGGAAAACAGGTGATGAAATCCCATTGCTCAAGTGCGAGGCGTATTTATTCTTCCAAGGCCGAGGGAGCGAGGCTTGGGGGAATCCATCATCATCGGCTGTTCTGGAGCCAGGCAGAGCACCGGCCTATGGTGCGTGCTAGGAAACCAAAACTTTTAATGCGCTTTTTATGATGCTTGTCCAAATTACACATCCCAGAAAATTTTTGGGAATGTTAACAGGCCCTAAGGGAGACCCCTCTGTGCACCAGATGGGCTCTGTGTGCCTGCAGGCTCCTTCTGTCCAAACCCACGGAAAACACCTGGAGCCTCGCTGGAGAACCTACCTGAGACCCGCCTTACAGCGAAGCGACACATCACCCCCGAGGGTCCTATCGGCCGTGTCGATTTGCCTAGCATTCCTCAGAACTGCCAGGTTTCCCCCGGCAGCTCGGATCTGAGGGGAAAACAGGGGGAAAAGTTCATTTTCCTGCAGAAATATGTGAGGGGCGGGGAGTGGCCTCCCGCGGCCGCCAGGGGGCGCCTCACACCCACCCCCTGGCCCCCCCCCTCCGCCTCCCCGGCCTGACGTGACGTCGTCGCGAGGCGCCACGTCCGGCGCGAGCGGCGGAGGGGCGGGGCCGGGGAGGGGGGGGCGGCGCGGGCGGGCCAATGAGGGGAGCGCGCGAGCGCGCGGCGGGCCAATGAGGGGCGGGCGCGCGTGCGCGGCGGCGGCGGGCGCCGGGCGCGCGTCGCGGTGTGAGGCGGAGGGACGGGGCAAAGATGGCGGCGCCCGTCCTGCTGCGGGTGTCGGTGCCGCGCTGGGAGCGGGTGGCGCGCTCCGCCGTGTGCGCCGCCGGCATCCTGCTGTCCCTCTACGCCTGCCACCTGGAGCGCGAGAAGGGCCGCGACGCCCACTACCAGGCCCTGTGCGACCTCAGCGAGCGGGTGCGCTGCTCCGCCGCCATCACCTCCAGGTGAGGCGGGGGTGTGGACCGCCCGCCCCTCGCCCCGCTCTCGCCGGCGGGGCGGCCAAGGGAGCGCTGCCCCCGGGCCTTCGGGGAGCTCTGGGAGGCTCCCTGAGGGGGTGCGGGCGCGGAGGGGCCTGTGGCGGGGGGCACAGGGCAAGGGGAGGGGGCTCAGCGCTCCCGGCCGGGGCAGCCCCAGCGCTGGAGGGCCGGCCAGGGAGCGGATTTATCGGGATCACCGGCTTTTTTCGGGATCACCACGGACCGCAGGGCGAGGCACCCGCAATTGCCGTGTTGAAATCAGTGGTAATTAGGTGGAGCGACGGGCGTTTTAGTGGTAGACGCTCGTTAGAGCGGAGTGGTGTGGCTGCGAGCGGTGGTTGAGGCCAGTGTAAACATGGGCGATTGCGGGTGGTTTGCTTTGGGTGGCTTTAATTGCGGTGTCTTGTATTGCGTTTTCATTGAAATGTCACCTGGCAGCGCAGGAGATGGTTTTGTGGTACAGGGGAAGGGCTTCATTCAAGAGAGACTTGGATGCCTCTGCAGCAAAAGCTCAGCCCAAACCCCGAGTTATTTTGCCGGTGTCCAGTCAGCTTAGCAGTTGTTTTCTAAAGGTCTTGATTCTGTTACGAGAGTCAGTCTCTAACATTCTGTTAACTTGACTTGTCATGTAAGTATTTGGTTGAGTTACAAAAATGAAAAGGCCCACCCTGCTGTGCAGTAACAAGTGATTCCAGTACAAACATGGCACAGGGAACAGTTTCAGGTGGACTCGATCTTAAAGATCTTTTCCAACCTTCATGATTTTGTGATTCGAGGTGTATTTTGGCCAAGAAACTCTCGTAAAAGCATATTGTAAGAAATCTCTGCTAAAGAAATGAGAGGATTTGTCCATGAATCTCAGAAGTGCTCAGAGCACAGAATGTATGTCTGGGTGTGTGTGTAGATATACAGGCACATAAGAACACCCACTAGAGGGAAGTGGGAAGGGGAGGGTTTGGTTCTTGAGCATATTTATGTATTAAATGCATCCTCCTTTTCTTCTAGTGAGAAGTTTGTTACTACCATGTTAATACCTTCAGCTGAATGAGCACTTGAGATTTACCTTTTTCCTTTCTCAGTATAACCTGTGTAAAAGCTGTCCCAGTTTTTATCAAGGTATTTGCTCTACCATCATAAAAAACCAGTTGTGCAGAGCATGCCCATTCTCTTATCAGGGTGGGAGCTGTTAAATTGTTGAGGTAAAACAGGCAGGGATCTCACATTCCTAAAACCTCTGCTGTGGTGACAGCAGTGGGATTGTGTTACAGAGATCTGTATCTCTGGATGTCTGAGAGGAGACTCTTGTGATTGAGTGAGGGCTTTAACTCTGCTCTTCTGCCTGTCCTCGGGTGATCTTTAGTTTGTGGAGGTGCTTGTTCATGTCTCTGTTTGGGAAGTGTCCTGAAGTGACAAGTTTTGCTCTAACTTGGGAGAAGACTTCAACAAACTTGCCAGATAACATAAAACTGTATAAATTAAAGTCCTGCATAGGCTACTGAGATTAAACTGTGTGAGTCTCATCAGTAGAAATAATTTTCAGCACCAGGAGCAAAAAGAGAATAACAGGGGTTTAATCATCATAAATCACCTCCATAGCAGCCTGTTCTTGTACAGAATTGGTTCTCCAACAGCTTTTTATTGTTGCTGCAAGTCCTGCTACTGAGGCAGGGGATTTGATGCAATGGTTTTGATGTGTGTTTACTAAATGCTTGGGAGAAGGAAAACACTTACAGATATAATTGGAATTATTTCTAATTATGGAATCATGCTTGGTAATTATAGTGTTCATTAGTAATGCAGGAGCTGACACGCTGAGTATGCCATGGCAAGGCCTAGAAACACTTTACTGTAGGAATTCTTTTTAATAATGCGAAGAGTCAGGGATAAAATCAACTGAAAATCTCACCAGCAGTTGCTAGGAGAACATGCTTGGAGTGGAGTATTGCAAATGCCAGGATATCTCGTGGTGATTAGAGCAGGTGGTAAAAGGAGTTTGTGGAAAAGGAACGTGCAAGTTCTGTTCAGTCAAACCATATTTGGAGAAGAATGTGCTTTCCAGGCTGTGCAGGACACAGAGGAGGAGTGTTGTTGCTTTAAAAGTAAGGCAGGAGAGCAAGTGATTAAACTTTGAAAGAAGAATAACATTGGAAGAAATTAATCTTATTTTCCACGTTGCCACAGCTCCCCATCCATCAGTCGCTCTCTCTCAGTCGACCATTCCTTGTTCCCACATCACCAAGGTTTCTGTGAAACTTGATTTCTACAAGGAAGCTTTAACTACAATTCAGATTTTACTGAGGTAGTAGAGTTCCGAATCTTGTGTTCCAGCTCTTCCACACGTACTGCAGATTTAACCTTCATGTGTTTCTTTCCTCGTTAAGCTGTCACACTGGCAGTCAGAAATTATTTGATTTGCTGATTAGCAGAGTTAACTCCACAGAGTTAAGTGGGTGACAGACTTGTACTTTGTGGCTTTTACTGCCTTTCAGAGTGTTCATTCAGTTGTGTGACTTTTATTTAAGCTGGATTTGCTGATGGAACTTGGAATGTAACAGTCTTCACATTTCAAGTCTTGACTCCCACAGTGGGCTGAACTTTAGAAAGCACTTAATGGCGGTGGGATTAATTTTAAACGTAGAGAATCATTAGAATAAATTAGTTTCTTCCTCCCTGAGCTGACTTTCTGGTATTTGGGGGTGACTTTTTTTTTTTTCACTTAATAAACTGTTAGTATTTCAAAATCCTGCTTTTAAGCCCAGTCTGGTATTGGCACAAGCACAGGAACAGAAATGTAAAGATTGCCAGCATGCAGAGGGAGGAGCACAGAGAATCTCCTATCAGAGCCTGACTCATACAGAAGATTAGGTTGGAGAGACACCTTCCCAGTGTCCCTTATTCAGAACAGGAATGCTCAGCATATTTCAAGCTTTTATCATGGGGAAAGTTCATGAAATAGTTTAAAAATAAAAATAGCTAAGGGCTGTATAATGAAAGAAGGTATTAGGGAAATACCAAACGTCTTCATTGGCAATTGCTGTCGGTGTTTTCAGTGAATTGCTGTCTTATATTTGAGAATAAGTGGCAAGAATTGCTTCATAATGAAACTGGCCTATGGCAGTTCCTGGTCTTGCTGTTGCAGTAGTTCCACTGAGGGAATTAAACCAATAGTCACATTTCAAGTAACGTTGAGAGTGCTACAGCTTGAAATAAAATGTGACCTTTAAGTTGTAATACAGAGCCCCAGAACCTTTTGCTCTGGCCTTTCGCTTGCCCTGGGAGATTTTGGGGTCTTCTAATACATTTCTGCTTTCTGTCTGGATTAATTGAAAGTTCCTGCAGAGGGGATTAGTGGGTGGCTCTCTTTCTGAAGGAAGTTTTGTGGCCTGGAGTGCACTAATGCTGTGACAACTGTGTGACACAGCCTTGAGACAGCACGGAGGACCAAAGGGCACCTGTCGCTGTATATCTTTAGCAATATTTGCATCTGCGTAAGTGAAGAGCTTTGGCAATAGTCAATATTGATCTAGGTTAACGTCTTTAGAGGTTCTGGAGTCCAAACAGGATTTTGAGACTCTGTGGATTAATTGGATCTCATGGAGAGATGGCGTATTTTAGGAATTCCCTGTTCTAACTTCATGCTCATGGGCAGGGTCTTGGGTTGTCGTCTGGTGTTTGAGCCATTCTGAAATGCCTGTTCTGAAAAATCCTGTTATCCCAGAACAGTCTGGGTTGGAAGGGACCTTAAAGATCGTGTATTTCCATCCCCCTGCTGTTGGCAGGGACACCTCCCACCAGACCAAGTTGCATGTCTGCCTTGTGTCTCCTGGTGGATGCACCAAACCCATCACTTGGTAGTTCCTGAAAATACATATCTGTAAAAATCTGTGTGTGGGGGGGACAGGCCTGTTTGCAGTTTGCCAAGGGTGGCCTGTGACAACTGGAGGATTATTGTATTGTTCTGCTCACCTATAAATCACTGTAAGCAGTGAATTGACAACTGTCTTAAGTGTTATGTTTGCTTTGCTTGGTGCCACAGCACTTCAGCTATCTGTTGTGTAGGGTAATGGTGTAGAGCTCATTCCTCTGCAGGGTGGGTGTGCACTGTGCTGTAAGGAACTGCAGGCAGAACTGACTTGTGCTGGTTTCTCAGTGTAGAACACCTTGCTAGAACTGTTCTGGTGCATCCTTACAAAATGCAGACTGTGGCACTGACCAGGTTGACAGGAACAACCCCATTATCTGAGCAAACGGGATATGGAACCAAACTTCTCAGACCTCCTCCTAATCTGATATTTAAACTGCAGTTCTGTTGTGGGGCAGTTCCTGTAAACTTGGTGTCTGCCAAGTTTACCTCATTCCAGGTTGAGAACATGATACAGCAGTTATCATTCTTATTAACAGTAAATTCCTGATGTCCCAGGATTTTTTTTATTGCTGTACCTGCAAGCAGGCATTCAGATATGTGTGAGGTTTGCAGTTAGTGATTGATGTAAGGTGGCAAAGGTTAAAAGTAGCTATGTGCAGGTGATTGGAGAAGTTTGTCCAGTCTGTTCTTGTGAACCAGTGCACACAAATGAGGCCCATGTGCTTTTTAAAAACATTTTATTCATTTTGCAGCTCTTTGGGTTTTTTAGTCGGTAGTCTCTTTAACCTGAGCCAAGTTAATTGTTTTTGTAAGGCATCTTTGATTCTGGATAGAAGAAGGTAGAAGCTGAGGGTGGAGCAATGGGTGATCATTCAATTGAAATCATATTTGTGGTTCTTAGACTGCAGAAATTGTATTCCCAAGTGTTAGACTGCAGGTGCAGTGGGGTTTCTGCAGTTACTCTGGATTCACTGGGTTTGCTACCTGAGGGAAGGTTTGGGGATCTCTGGTTTGTTCACTGGGCAGGGGGGAGTCGGAGTAGACAAATTCAGTGCCAAAGGGGAGGGAGGCTCCCAGGAACTCCTCTGCTGGAGGGAACCCT